AAATTTTTTTCTTTGTTAATTTTTCCATGTGCAAATCCATTTCGGGCAAATCCGTGTTAAAATTATCTATTAAAATTTTTTTCTTTGATAATTTATATAATTTTTTCATGTGCTAAACCATTCCGTGCAAATCCGTGGCTAAAATTATTTGCAAAACAGGCAATTTATGTTTCTCTTTTCTATTTTATATTTTTTCTTAAATAAACATCTATTTTCTAAAAATATGTATGGTCAATCAATTTTTAAAATTATCCAGTATAATATTACCTTGCGCACATCCATTTCGGGCCCATCCTTGGTAACTAACAAATCAATGCATAGAATAACAAATCACTTCACCAGTGCAGTAAGAACGGCACTTTAAAACCCTCTTGTTACACTCAATTTGCCCTTTTGTTTTCATATTTTGTAATCTGGCAATCTTTCTGCGAAAACATTTTGAATCATTCTTGAAAAATTTCCCGACCTTGTAAGTTGATCTGATTTCGCTACTCGCTATATAGTCCATTTTTATACTGTTTTTTCTTTTTCTTTTATTTTATTTTCTGTTTTTACATGTTATTTTTACTTTTTGTGTTCTATTTTATTTGTTGTAATTTTTATAAAAAAAATTTTTTTGAGTGCTCCTCACACTATTGTATTAATATATTTTGCTTTGGCTTTATTGATACAATATCAGAAATCACTCTGTTTTGCGAATATAGTCGTGTGGGCTGATGAAAAGATTATATCTTTTTTTCCGGTTTTTTAAATAAAATTTCATCCTTTTCTTTTTTCTTTTTTTTTAAAAAAACTGTTTGTTATTTTTTTACTTATTATTCCCCCCCCCCTTTTTTTTCACTTATCTATGATTTCTCTTTGTTTTATTCTTCATTGAACTTCTTCATTTTGAGCTGATTTAGTATGTTTTTTTCGAAAAAAAAGTTAAAAGCAAAGTCAATAAAGAAATTTAAAATATGGTTATTTTTATGTCCCTAATCTCTGATGGGTCTTGAGATGTCACCATTTTACACAGCTTATATCCCATTTTTATTTTTGTTGGTTACCGTTCATCGGTGAAGCAAAATGCTTAAGCCAATGAGTGGAATTTGGTTAATTTCTTCTGGAGAATCCGAATCTGCAATTAGAAATTGGGGATCATATTTAATATTTCAAAGTTGACCCTCACCTCCAGGGTAGGGTAGTAGGAACCATTGAATAGCTTTAAAAACATAATAAATGTATTACTCGAGGTATTTCACAGTTTCCGTACATTGCGAAATATTTTAAATCATTTTTGCAATACTTGTAAGTAGGTGGCATTTTTCTCCCTTCTCGCTTTCTTCCTATTTGTGTTTTATTTTGAATTTTTTTCTTCAATTTTTGTGATATTTTTACTTGATAAAATTATGTTTACGGTTTGTTTTCTTCTTTTAATGGGGGGCTGCTTTTGTATTACTATATTGATATATTTTGCATTTGGCTACATAAATACATTATTCAAAGGAGCAATTTTTTCAGATTTAATCGTGTGACCTAATGTCGGTATTATATTTCTTCCTTGTTAGTTTTTCCTAATTTTAATTATATATAATTTTAAAAATTATTTATAATTATATTATAAGCAAATTATATATATTATAAGCATTATTTATATTATAAGCAAAAATTATTTATAATTTTAATTATAAATAATTTTTGCTTTTCTTTTTTTTTTACTTAAAACCATTTTTTTTTTTTTTTCATTTTTCTGTTTCTTTTCTTGTTTTCTTTCTGTTTTTATCTTAATAAATCTCTGAATTTTTACTATAATAATCTCTGCTTGACTGCTTTAAGGCCAAGGACAAACTTGGGTTTATAAAAAGAGTGCTGCTGATTCATTCCTTAAATTCTACTACCGAATATATATATATATA